ATTGATATTGAACCCTAGTCACGCTGACAGAAACCCCACATTGTTGATCAAATGAAATTATTTTAATTTTACCGCCTTCAGCAATAGTGTGATGCTATTAATATATCCAGTGATCTAAACTGATGTGGAGAACTTTTGCGTCAGGCGGGACTGGAGCCCACATCTCACTCTATCCAGGTGCACACGCCCTAATCCGTTGCCTTCAGCGTGACTGGGGTTCAATGTCGATACCCGACTACCCGGGCCAGACCTTTGACGGTTGGCTGCTCGCAGAGAGATGCACTGTAGCGTTAAAAAGGTGTGCAAAATGGGCATCAGTAGTGCAATGGATTAGAGCACGAGTTCCCGGGTAGAGTGAGATGTGCGATGAAGTCCCGCTTGACGCAAAAGATTGGAAAGAACTCTAAATCACTGTTTATATTAATACTTTGGAGACCATCGTTGATAGGCAGGCGACGTCGCGCCGTCGCTTGCATGACGCTCGCTAACCAGGACATCTGTGTCTCTGTGCAAAATTGTCGTTGTGCCTGCGTTCTGTTGCAGCAAGGGCCTTCATTCCACGCCACGTTTCGGTAGGTAATTGAGACTGAGGGAAAACTGAGAGTGACTACAAAGGCAGAGGAGAGTGCACCCCGGGTATGGACAACCATCGGTTAGGAAGATCTCACTATCGCTACCACCATCACTATCACTAGTTCCACCACTATCACTATCGTTATCATTACCAATATCACCATCACTATCTCTATCACTATCATTATCACCATCGCTACCACCGTCATCATCACTACCACAATCATTATCATTGTCACTATCACCATCACCATACTACCACTAACACTACCATCACTACCACTATCATCACTATCACTGTCACTGTCATCATTGCTACCATAATCATTATCACCACCATCATCACATCACTACCATCATTATCACTTTCACTATCATCATCACCATGAATATCATTATTACTTCCACTACCATTATCATTATCACTATCATCAATATTATCACAATGATTATCGAATGAAAGTTTGATTCATTTTACTAGCTGGAAGTGCGACTGTTGGTCAGTAAATGTCTAGCGCTGTGTGAGTGCCCCTATCAAACCTCATTAGCAGATCAAAACAGTAGCAAATATTATCACTTTCGTAATCATTAGCATTATCGAAAGCATAGTCATTATCACTTGCATAGTCGTATGTAGATAGAATATTTAAGACATATGCTTTCTTGACTGAGGATAGCTCTGTGGAAACTTTTTCAATAAAGTTCCATCATTTGATGTTAAAAGTGCTCCCTCGAAATTTGAGTTCATCTCCTCGCATCCATCATGTTGTCTGGAGTCTGTCTTCTGACGAGATTTGTCGCTTTCTCATCGGGCGCGACGCCACCATTACAGTAATTGGGGATTGACGTTTCGCGGTGTGGAACGAAACGTCGCACATGGTTCTCAAAGTTATTTATCAATTAAATATGATAACTTAGCTCTTAACTTCGTACGGGGTTGGTAGACGACCTTGGTGGATGTCGCTATTTGTTGTTGTTGATAGATCGCTAAACGGATTGTTGGCTGACGTTTCTTCTTCTTTCTTCGCAGCCTGGACGTACACTGTTATCGATATTTGTACGAGCCGATAAGATGGATCGATGCGTAAGCACTGTCTTGGATCAAGTCCGAAAATTAAGCGCATGTGAGGTGCCAGGTCCCGAGTAACGATGACGCAATCGTCCTTACGGTTTACACTCGGATTTTTAGCGTTTATCCAAAACGCTTTTATCTTAAGTTAATCGATGGCTCTAATTAATTAATTACCTTTATTCGATAAACTTTAATTTTTAGCGTATATCCAAGAGACGTTTTGGATAAACGCTAAAAATCCGAGTGTAAACCGTAAGGACGAATGCGGCACCGTTACACGGGACCTGGCACCTTATATGCGCTTAATTTTCTGACTTGATCCAAGGGCGGTGCTTACGCATCGATCCATCTTACTGGCTGGTACAAATATGGAAACAATGTACGTCCAGGCTCAGAAGAAGGCGGGTAGCCGAAACGTCAGCCAGCAATCCGTACAGTAATTTATCAACAACAACGAATAACGACAACCACCAAGGTCGTCTATCAACCTCATGCCAGCTAAAGAGCTAAGTTACCATACTCAATTGATAATTAAGTTTGATGCCTAGGTTAATAGAAAATCGATCTCTCAGTCTGAAATTGTTAAGAACATCATACTTTCGCGAAAAAAAGGCTAAATAAAATGAGTTCTATATACTTTTTCATTCAGTTTATTTTATTTAGTTATTTTTCTAGTATGAGGAAATGGATATAAAATAACCAAGATTTCATAGAATGCTAGAATGGAATGCTCTTCTACATTTCTACGTAGATCGCTATTCTGATGGTACACCAATGATCGCAGTTATTGAGTGTTATAGATGAACTGTTGATATTGTTGTGATAATCTCTGGGTAATTTATATAATGGGTATTATTCAAGACTCAACGATCTTTATGGCAAAATTTTTGCGCAGCTTATTGCAATTGATTGGACGCCAAAAGCGCTATAATTGGATAATAATCTAGATATTTGCTTCACATTGAAGAGCTACACATGCCTCAAAGCATAGGAGAAAGTAGAGGAAATGTGCTGTATCAAAGAAGTACAAAAATTTAGGAAAAAAATTCTACAAGGCAGAAAAAAAAGCCCCGGTCAAACAACGAAAATCGCTCACCGCCGCGTAATTCGCGCTGCGATTTCTATAGGCGTCTCTTAAGGGTTAAGCAATCTCTGAGGGATGCTCCATGCATTCGTCCTTACATTAACTTCGTGTAGGATTCAATGGATATGTGACCTTTACAGTGACACTCGGTGGTCTGCTGATGCATCAAATCTAACTCGGAGAGTCTCGAGGGTGAGATCAAAACTAATCTGATTAAGCATGTGTGTCGCAGAGCACCACCAACCATTGCGCCACTGGAGCACGAACTAATTGAAGACATCTGATCATCTTGTAAAAAAGGAGAGTTGTACACTACAGCAAAATTGCCAGTGTTGCGAAATGAATACAATGGGCGTCATAAAGAAGAGAAGTGTGGTGGAGCAGAGGCTCCTTAGCTGACCTTCTTAAGCGTTTAAAATTTTTTGTAGGAGTGGATGTTTATTTAACGCACTCAATTTTTTATGATGTCCAGACAGAACAACGAATGTTGTTGCACATTTCGTGTAAAGTTTCATTTCATTTATGTCACAGTTCAGTGGTCTATGTATGGTTCAGAAGGATAATAGTCAAAACCCTAAATATACTAAATAATAAAAAGCTCAATGCGATTCGACTGCTTTCTTGGTTTGAAGTAGGTTGAAATTTTTTTTATCCATCTCAGCACTTTAGAGCACATATTGATGTGTTCAGAAGAGGGATGATTATATATTAAAAATTAGTTTGATCATGCACAGTGCAATTCAGACATTTTTACTAGTAAATGACAAACACACGCGTTATTCAGTCTCTATAAAGGCAGTGCAGTTTGCTTAAACTGGATTACGGACTATGGAGAGCTTTCTGCTATCGACTGCACCTCCAACAACTGCAAATTCTCTAGGAATGCAAATTGCTTATTGAGAGAGTAAACAGAGGCTTCCATCCAAGTGTCATATGTCGACAAGGATTCTTTGACTGGGAACGTGATAAATTTTGCTTGTCTGTTTGGTTCTCTTTTGTAAAGTTTTGTCTGTTTAGAGAATGACAAAAAAAAAAAACACCGATGTGCTGTGTGATCACACGCCTTGTTATGAGTCTTCTACGAGCAAATGATGCTGAATGATCACTTCCGCTGTGCAGCACTTTTGTGTTGAAGCACTTCCGCGTTGCAGCAGTTACGCGTTGTAATGATTCCATATTTGAGAAGTTTTGTATCGCTTTACTTAAACTGTTATCTAACGAGCAAACTTGCTATATTTCTTAAGAGAATTGAGTAGTATGCAAAAACACAGCCAAGGCACATTTGTTCGACTACTCATTTTTCAACATCTCTATGTTAGCTGTAAGCCACCAACATTTAAGAGGTTAGGCTGGGTATGCTATTCTGCTTTATAAACCCAGTTGAGCTGACAGCCATTGTGATAAGTAATAATTCAAAATTATGTTGTTTTTACCGAATTTTTCGCATTTTTATGATCTTCCATATATTCCTAAGAGAATTGAGTGGTGAGCAAAAATACTCTCAGGAACATATGAAACTTCTCTTAGAAATAAATGAAACATCATAACACTGCGAAAAAGGCAGTAACAACATTAGAAATTTGGATTATTTCTTATCACATGGCTGCCAGCTTAACTGGGTTTATAAAGCGAAATCGCATACCCGACCAAGCCAATTAGGGGATGGTGGCTGACAGTTAACGTAGAGATGCTGAAGAATGAGTGATGAGCAAATGTGCCTCAGCGGTGTAGTGGTAGAGCACGAGTGCCGGATAGGATGAAATGTTGGTTTGATTACCGCCTGAAGCCGTGCTTTTGCTCACCATTCAATTCTCTTGGGATTACATGAAACACCATAACACTGCGAAAAAGGCAATAAAACAATAGAAACTTGGATTATTGCTATACTTTAACAGTGCATTTCGAGATCAAATGAAATTCTTTTTATTCGTTTCTAGCGGCGGTATGATGTTTTGAATATACCCATTGATGTAGAGCGATGTTCGAAGCTTTCGCGTCAGGTGGTACTAGAATCTGCACCACACTTTAGTCCAGGAGCGCGTGCTCTATCTGTTGCACTATTGACTCCCGTTCATACAATACTCCTTCTACACTACAACTCATCTATCTGTCAGGCAACAGCCGTCAACGCCCTGGCCCGTGTAGTCGATTGGAATTGAATCCAGTCACGGTGACAGATATTTGGTACTGAAGATCAGATGAAATTCTTTTAATAACCGCTTCTAACGGTGATATGATGTTGCTATGTAGAAAGAGTGCTGTGTAAAACGGGCGTCAGTAGTGTAACGGATAGAGCACACGCTCCCGGATAGAGTGAGGCACGGGTTCTAATCCGGCCTGACGCAAAAGTTTTGCGCATCACTCTACATCAGTTTATCTCGAGCCTTTCATAAAGTCTGTTATAGGCACTTATACGTTGCCAGTTACGTGTTTAGGCTTATACCGTGGTCGCACGGTGTCTTTCGCCCAGTCAGTTCCTTAGGGAGCTACCCCTATATGGAGAGATCGACGGCGAACTTTTCTCACTCAACGTGCTCATGAAATGACCTCATAGAAAGTTCAAAATGCAATATCAGATCATACTATCCTTGAGAGAAGTCTCAAAATAGTCTAGTGCTACATATGCCCACATATGAGCCATACACCACGCAATAGACAATTAACCACTCTGAAAGAACGCCGCGGTGATTGCTTGATTGCACATTGAGCGTAAAAATTTTTTCGTCAGTTCCTCTGTACAAGGGTAGAATCTTGAGGAACTGACTGGACAAGGAAGCACCGTGCTACTGACGAAGCTGTAAGGCCAAAACATGTCTCTTGCACAGCACAAGTGCCCATAACAGACTCACGAAAGGCTCAGAAGACATTGTCAGATTACAATGCTCCTCAGCGAGGTCTCCAAGTAGTCAATTACAATGTTTGTTACAATCTTGCTATAGCATCCCTCTGCACTTTCTAATAAAAAACTGTACTAGATCAACTTTTTGCTGCTGCTGTGAAAATCATTTTCTCAAATGTTATAGTATCATTAGTGCTGACAACATTATTATGTGTGTATTGCCATCACCTGCACCACATGTTGTCCCACTTACTGTCGAGTTACTGAGGCAAGTTGCAATGAGCCATCCCTTTTCCCCGTTTTGCCTAAATAAGAAACCAGTGAAATTTTCTACGTGCAGACACTCGTCAGGCATTACCACTTTCTTTCAGGCATTTTGTAAATGAATCAAATCATGCCAAATGGTTCTACAGCTGCGCGTTTGGAACTCCGAAAAATCCGATCGGTAGCGGCTCCTGCCTAGAGTTGCTGTTAAAACAAACAATATGTTCGTCCACACGATCTTTGATTGCTTTGTGGACAGAGCGCCTTCTTCGATTTAGGATGGTTCCGCAGCTCAGACTTCGGAACCCTTCTCCTATCTGGAAGATACTTTTGCACCGAGCTTACAAGTGTGCGTTCAAGGCGTCAACTGATCTCTCATCCTGCTCAATTATTGACATGATTTCTGATGCATACCTTAAGGTAGAGATAGCCGTTGAGTCGAAAAAGTATTCACAATGTTAATGTTCTTCATTGTCTTTGCGCGTCTTCGATGCTTTTAAACGCTTACCGAGCAGCTGGTTTCGTTTTGCTCAGCTCTGTAACTAATCCGTTCATCATTCTGAATTCCTCTCCTAAATAGGCCTGATTTTAGAATTCAAAGACATCGATTTCGTCAATTCAAAATCAATTCCCTAATCATGTCCTCTCGTAAGATGTCGTCGAGGACCATCGTTCCCACAAGCGTTTTCGGAATCAGTCAACATGCGCTACTCCTGGCTCATAATTGATGTTATAGGAACGATGTCATCAGCAGGGAGAAAATAATCTAATTTCTAAGTATCAAAATTACTCGCGCGTTATCCTGTTCCAATCTTCACAAGACGATCTGAAAGATGGCTGTGAATGCTTTAGACATCATTGAACCGTCTTGTCAAACCACCACTCTCTTTTGGTTGACAACAGAATTGTTAAAGTGTGCTGATATAATAGTCAGTCGTTCGTAAAGATTAGTAAGTTGGTCAAATTTCTGTGATGAAATGGCGAGAAACTTCACCTTGGAGCTGGTTTAGAGCCACCTTTGATTAATAGCCCCTCGTTTTCTTCCGAGAGACGCTGGCAAGCCCTCCACTAGCATGAACCATGTTCAGAACCTTGGAAGCCGTACGCTAAATATTAGCTGCAAAATAGAACAAAAAATGGCCTTCATTTTCTTAATCCCAGAAGGGTCTTGGATGTAGCAGCTGAGAGGGGCGAGTATGGAGAGCCTACTAAGTTCTCAAATTCATTCCAGGCCTTTTGGATTTCTATTTTCTAAGGTAACTATCTCTACCTACAATATAGCCACTAATGTTGAGTCACATACAAACTTTTGGACGTCGAGTAGGATTTGAATCCGCATTTCATCCTTTCTGACGCGTATGCTAACCATTATGCCACCGGCACTCGTTCTGCATTCACTCTCAATTCATGTGCACCTATAATACAAGCATATCTGCATAAAAAACTCTTATAGGGAATCTGATAATGCCGCTGGCGGTCTCACTGAACCTACGAACTTTGAACATCTTTGCTGCTTGGTTTTATACAATTACATCGACTTTGTAACAGAGGACCAGGCTTTTTCATAATCATCATTAAGATTTCAACGCAATTATAGGACTTAGAAAAACGCCTGAAGAGCGTCACTTGGGACCGACGCCCATGATTACAACGAAGAGCATTTCTGATAATGAGTTTTTGAGCCACGCATGTGTTCTGTTATAGGGCAACTTACTGAGCTCGATATACGTGTTTCCATTTGACAGGCATATTGAAAATTGAGCGTGGTCTTAAGAAAACATTCCTCATTCAGTGATGATTTCATTGAATGGATCGAGTAAAATATTCTTCGTTGCCTACTCATAGTATGGGGTTGGGTTCCCCGAGAAGATTGGCTAGAGACGAGCCGACTGACAGGAGTGTCATGGTCAAAACATGTGTATGACCCTCTATAAGTTAGCCTATAACAGACTGCATGCGTGGCGCAATCCAGAAAACACTTAGAACGAAAGGCAGAGCAAACAGCACGAGAGCCTTGTAGACTTTATCGTACCGCCTAAAATATCTATAGCAACTCAAAATTCTAAAGTCCCACACTCAAAAATGGACGTCGGAGTCGATCAAGGGAAGGTGCAACGTAAAAATACCAAATCTTGGTGAATGGAATGTTCTACCTAACTTATGCTGTTGTTGCTGCAAGATTTCAAACGAATCGGATTATTACCTGAGTCGCCTGGAGTGCTTCGCCTTATCATCATGAGTAGCTTGAGTTAAAACCACGATTTACATGTAAAAAGAGATAAGCTTTATAGACCGTAGGACTCCCATTGGCGCCTTGTGGAATGCCGCTCATTATGTCAAGGAAATGGTAACGAGTACTGTGAAACGCAAAATTAGGTGACATGACTATTAGAGAGGAAGAGGAATTAGCACTTGTTCGGAAATTGGTCAGAAACTGGCAGATGTCGTCGAATTCTGCGCAGCGGCGCTGTGTTGATCATCCAATCACTCCACGCTAGCTACAGTTATTTTTCCACTTACAATAGCAGGCTATTTTTCTTGGGTGTGATAAAAAGGTATCTGAAAAGGCATAATTACTTTGCGTTACTAGTGAACAAATACTACAAGGGCGCTCAGTTTGATACCCACTTTTTTCAACTTGCATAACCCACTAAAACACCTATTACTATGAGGATCCCGCCACTTCCGGCATTTGGAATCATATAGTCTTGTCCATCTTTCTGGGTGGATCTACCAACTGTGCGTTGTTTCGACTGTTGCTCAAGAACTTTGTTTTCAACATAACGTTGCGATATGCTGCCCAAAATGATTATCCCAGCATTCTCAGGGAGAAAAGAGTAGAGGTGTTCCTACTCTGACTGAAGGGACTTTTGAGGAACGGGATCAAACCAACGCTTTTCTTCCTGATGAACTGTTCTACTAGTCGCTCCTTTATCCCAGTATTATTTCACTTATTTGATACACGTCGTCCCTCAGTAGCTAAATTGCTTGTTATGTTCGCTGCAACAGCAAAAAAATATTTTGTTTTACATCCAAGCAATTTTGCCTGATAAATTTTTTCATAAGTAATTAATAATTATTAGATAGGACAAATCTTAGCAATTTCAAAGGTGCTCTTCGTTCCTGAAAAAGACTTCTCGGAGAGATGTAACAATCAAAAGAAGATTGGTGATGGAAAATTCGGATTGTTTTCCATGATCCACATCCTGCTTTGAATTCTTCTGAAAAACGCATTTTTCGATTTTCATTGCAGAGTTATAATAGCCATTCGATAGTGCAAATCTCGAAAATTTTGTTGGTACACTTCTTTTTTCGAAATTGCTCCCCTAACGCATTCTAATAGAGGAAATTAAAATATCTCGCACGCTCGAGCATTTTTCACTGAAGAGTGATTTTTCTTCAGAATTCTAATAATTCTTAGAAAGCTTGAACATCGACAATGCCCATAGCGACTTTGTTTTTGAAAAGAACTCCTTATTGTAATGTAGCAGTCAAAAAAGATTACGTTTCGCAGTTGGTTGATATGCTGCTAAAGGCACGGTGACTTGAGGCCAATGTCGCACCCCCCACTCCCTTTTCAGTGCGACCAATCTGCTTTTGACTGTTACAGTTCTCTAAGGAATCCTCCCTAAGAAATAAACTACGTCTTTGAAATTAATAAAATTTTCATGTCGAATGGATATTAATTTTTTACAGAAAAACCTCATTCGGCATGCTCATCTTGATAGGTGAATTGACACGTATCTAGTCGAAGTCTTGAAATTGCCTTGCAAACCTTCTCCAACTAGTATCTCTATGTTTAGTAATGAGTCAACATCCTCAGCATTCTCTCTAATTCATGAACGAAAAAATTTTTTTGTGGATTGTCCATTGGCAAATTTCTCATTTTTTTTTTGAAAGAAGGCGCCAAATCCAAATTTATCACATTGTACGCTTTGATTTAATTGCTGCTGTAATGTCAACCAAATAAAGGACAAATGAAAATGTCTGCTTCAGAAAATTCACAGTTGAATTTCAGTTCCCGCCGACAGTGGCAAGTGCCGAGAAGAAGTGCGATCCGAATGGTCCCGATGCCAACAACCGAACTGCTCGGTTCACAACACTTTGCCACATTGCATTTGACCAGCTCGCCAGGACAATCTTTGCTATCTGCAGAGATTTTTCTCACAAAACAATGTTGTACAACATGAAAAATAAAATCCATACCGAGAGAGACCCTGAAATTGCCAGGTGTGGGCTAGG